GAAGGGTGAGGAAGGTGGTTACTATGTTCTCATTTCCCTACTCTCTCAAGATCATAGGTATTTATAACCATTTTATGAATGTTGTCCCTTTCTCTAGCTCTCTGAAGTCTTGACACTCTCCTACTAAGTTGTAGTCAAGCTGGTTCAGGGGTCATCCACAGCAAACAGGGATAGAATCTCATAGAATCTCATAGAATCTGCTTCACTGCCAACCCCATCAAAACCTTCAAAAGACTCTTCATCAGTGGGTTCAGTAAATATTTGCCAAATTCTCTTCTGCTGTTGCTGTTCAATAGATTCTTGCTCCCGAGTAGACCTTTTTGCCTATCTAGTCTCCAACTCCCTGTTGTTACTACTACTCAGAGACTCATCCACAACAGGGTATGTGTACCAAGTTTGGTTCAGATCTATCAAGCCATTTAGGAGTGTTTGTGGATCAAACATAACATACATATATGTATACGTTGACTTTTATATATACAGTGGAACCTCAACTTAAGAGTGTTTTGAGTTAGTCATTGCTCAGCCCTGGCTTTGCTTTGACATATGAGCAGCATTTTCAGTTAAGAGCTAGCACCAGAGGGAGCACTAGTGCCAGAGTCCTGGGCTTTAGAGTTTCAAGGGAAAGCCTTCATGCCTCCATTACTCGTGGTCTTTGTCACTTTGGAAGATTGCTGTCCGCTTTTAGGAACTTTGGGTTAGTTGATTTTTGTGTGGTTTCTATTCCTGGTATGTTTGGCTTAATGAAGAGAGAATGGGAGAGAGGGAAAGAGAATGAAGGAAATAATTTATATATTATTTGTTATTTATAAAATACATTTAAAACATGTAACAAAAATGGGGAGTGGGGTTCGGGGTCTTGGATGGATTAATAGCATTTCAATGCATTTCAATGGGAAAATTTGCTTTAGACAAGAGTGATTTGAATTAAAAGCTCAGTCACAGAACAAATTAAACTCCTAACTCAAGGCATCACTGTATAGACATTGTATTGTCCTTCATTGTGGTTTATAAAAAAAAAAACTAAAATACAGTTTTGAATTCTACATAAACCGTATTAGGTAGGATTCTAATGTAGCATGCAAAGTTTGAAATCCACAGGCACATGAACAATTTCAACAAAAAGGAAGAAACCATAAAAATGAACAAAACCTGACTACTATACCGAGAAACACCTGAATCAAGACAGTAACTAATGAACACCACCTAGACAGGAAGCCCCCAGGCAGCAAGCAATCAAGGGACAGTGAACACCACCCAGACAAAGGATGCCTCCCGGCACTCCAACAAGGCAACAAAGGCCTGCCTGCTTCCAGTTGCTCTCACTATATTGACTATGCAATCTTCTCAGTTACTAACATTCTAATTGATGGATCCTGAGTGATTTACACTTGTAAACCAGGCATGCTAATTGCACCCTTCACACTTGGTTAATGGATTCTTTCTCCCACCCTGGACATTCCACTTGCTTTACCACCATCAGATCCTCTGAAAATGCCAGCCACAGATGCAGGCGAAATGTCAGAAGAAAATGCTGCTAGAACATGGCCATACAGCCCAGAAACCACACAACACTCCAAAGATTTTGTAGATTGCAAGTTGATATTGAGAATAAGTGTGTAATTTCTCTGTATAGTGTCTACTGGATTGACATCGAGTTGCCAAGTATGGTGTAAGATTAAACCCTTTGCTGCTTGAATTGGTACAGCAAGACACTGAAATGTATTGCAGGAAGGCAGTAAATGAAAACTGATCCCTGTTTCCAATTCCTTCTCAAATGAGTCATAAGTAAAACAAATGGATATCTTCTCAGAAGCTGTAACCTCTGTGCCATTATGAAGCATTGATGATCACATTTTTAAGAGAAAGAACACAGAAGTGCAGTAAGAGATTTCAGCAACATGGGAAAATCTGCTGAGATGCCATAGAAAGTTTTCTAACATTTTGCAAAGATGACCCACAAATATGTATGACATTGTCTAGATCTAAAGATGCTTCATTGATGAAATGCCATCATTGATCTTAGACAGAGAGAGGCTTTAACTTAAAGTTTTTGACTTTTAATACCATGATGAGATGGGCTGTCAGGTTAGCCTAGAACTCTGGTTCCCAATGTGAAGCATACACCTTGGATTTTACAGGAATCAGTTGGGAATACGTTATTAATAGTGAATTTTTTCACATTTCTTATGGTTCTAGGGGTCTCATATGCAATATATAAATATACATTGCGACATACACATTTTAAAAATTAAAATCAAAACGTCCATGGTGGTCAGGTGGTGACAATGGAGAGGGGGAAAGCCTGCTAATAGAGAGGAGTGGTGAGAGCACAGAATTAACTAGAGAGCACAATAACACAGAGAAGTGAGGCAACTTTCATACCAAACACTCCAGTCCTCTCAGTGTTCTTTTAACATCACAAGCTATACAGAATATATAAACATGTATTTTTGTTCTGCATATGAATATAGCAAGAAATCTGTGAAAAAATCCAAAGCACAATTATTACTTTCATAGTAAGTTAAAGTTTTGCATGATTTTTTTAAAAAAAGATAATTAGCTGCAAGAAAAGTAATGTAAGGAACAAGATATTCTCACATATTCTCACCAAATACACACAGTGAATTTAGACACTTGTTACCCCGTATTTGGTACAGATTACTCAAATCAATTGTGCCTCGAATATTACTGTCCACATGAAAGCTGTTATATTTCATTGGTTAACTTTATGAACAGCCAAGTGTTTTCATTATCAAAACCTGGTATTTTTAGGTTCGAGCATAGAAACCTCGTATTTTCCATTCCTGTGAATTTCTCCTGATATCTTCCTTACTTTTGAATAAGTAATGAGCATAGAAAGAATGTGAATTGACACATCATTAAGCATCAACAAATGACATCAACCATCAGAAAACCCACAAACTTAGGTTTTGGACCTGTCTTCACTGCCTGTGTCTCTTTATGTCAAAAGAATACCAAATGTGCCATCAAATTACAAACAAAAAAGACCTCCTCCATATGAATAGGAGTTCATTTTTTGAATGATAAGAATTATATGTCATGGGGGTTGGAGGGTGGGCATCAAGATTTTACAGATGCTTAGATGGAGCATGGCCAAAAAAGGTTGGGAACCACTAGTCTAGATTCTAGACGAGGGGTCCTCAAACTAAGGCCCGGGGGCTGGATACGGCCCTCCAAGGTCATTTACCCGGCCCTCGCTCAGGGTCAACCTAAGTCTGAAACGACTTGAAAGCACACAATAACAACAACAACAGTCCTATCTCATCAGCCAAAAGCAGGCCCACGCGTCCCATTGAAATACTAATATGTTTGTATTTGTTAAAATTGTTCTTCATTTTAATTACTGTATTGTTTTTAATGTTTTTTGCACTACAAATAAGATATGTGCAGTGTGCATAATAATTCATTCATATCTTTTTCATATTATAATCCTGCCCTCCAACAGTTTGAGGGGCTGTGACCTGGCCCTCTGTTTAAAAAGTTTGAGGACCCCTGCTCTAGACCCTCTCCAAAAATAAAAACCAACCTTATTATATTGCCTGCTCAGAAGCAGATCGCATTTAGTGCAATGAGACTTAACTTTCAGATAAGCAGTTATATAATAATACATTTAGTATGCAACTGCATTTGCACATATTCCTATTTTAATCAATGCTTCTTTTCTATTGCTTCCTCCTTTAGTTTTCTCTGTTAATGTTTCTGTAGATCTCACAGATACTTTACTCCTGCCCCTTGAAATACTATCTCAAAACAATTATAATAGGTAAAAGCAGTAATTCCCACTTCATTTTCCATGGCTGTTAAGATCCAAGGAGATACTTTAGGGATCTCTTCACAGGTCCCTCCCCAACACCTGTGCCATTTCAGTCACTGGCTAAATGGTAAGTGCACAGGGCGCCCCATGGCACCCCACACACCCTCCTTTCTTTCCCAATCACATAGGGAATTGGTCAGCTGCCCTGTCCCCATCGTATGGGGAAAAGGATAGATCATCAATGGGACCGTGCCTGCCGTGTGGCTTGTGATAGTGTTCAGAAGGCCCTGCCCCCAAAGTGTTGCAAAGGGGAAATTTCCCCTCATGTGATGAGGTGGTATAAACATGCATCCTGTGAAAGTGCAAAGGGTTAAACAGGTAGAAACGAGGAAGCCTCACAGTAGACTGAGTGAAGCATTGTAAAAGTGGATTGTGGTTGAGAGTGTATAAAGCATCTTCAGCAGATCCTCAGCTTCTGTTCAAGTTGGGAAGATGTGTTTAACAGCATGTGCAATGCCCCAATAAATCTCAGAAATAATAATATAAAAATGTCAAATAATTTGTGCCTAAGAGGCACTATGCAATTTGGCAGAAATTGAAAGTTTTTCCAAACTAGCTCTGAGTCTTAACTTTGGTGATTCTAATTCAGAATATATATAGCCCTCTCTGTGTTATAACTTCGCATTGTTTCAGTCCCCATATTGTTTCAGTCCCTAGTTCATATTGATATTAAATACTTCTTATTTTCTTGGTCCTCTGTCATGCTACTAGCACTAAGTACCATTCCTCACAACTGTGGCCATTGTTAATTGTGAAATATATCCTCTTAAATTTATGGAATTGTTTAATTCCTGTGGTGGAGTCTCCTCTGGAGGTTTTTGAACAGAGGCTGGATGGCCATCTGTCGGGATGTTTATTGTTTGTTCCAACATGGCCAAGAGGAGTTGGACTGAATGGCCCTTGGCCATTGTATGATTCTTTGATACTTAAAACTCTCATAGATTGCAGGAGTCTTGCTTTATGAATGTATTATTCTTGCTTTATGCATCTATTTTCCAGGGATGAGTCATGTTTGAATAGCTTATCTTTTAATTTATCTAATGCCTTTAAAAGCCTATGAAAACTCATCTCCTTCCATAGCATTTCTTTTAAATAAATGAAATATGCAAACTATTTTGTTATGAGCTGTTAAACCCTGATAAAGCTTTTCTTTTTTTGACAGAAATAAAGCATGAAGAAGTTGTGATGTGCTACCTGAAAACCTCACAGTTGGCACTGGCTTTAGCTATCATCCGCTCCAAGCCGCCAGATAAAAGCAGCAAAGAGTATGCAGAGCACCTGGCCAAGATAGTATCTGGACAAGATTTTAAGTGGAAGTCAAGAATTGCAATGTTAGAAGCTGAGGTTCTTCATTTAAGGCAGCAGCTCCTACTGAGGAAGACGTCTTCTGGCTTAAGAGCAAAACATGGTAGGTTATTAAATTGAGTGAGCTCTGGATACCGAATCTGGCATAATTGGAGAAATAAAACCTCCCTCACAGCTTTTAAAAAATAAAATTAGTGTTATTTTTCTGTAGATGTTGGCTTCTTAATTTTAAAGAAATTGTTATGAAAATATTTATATCTTCCCCTATATTCCTCAAAATCTCAGGGCAGAATACAGAAGAGAAAGCAATGTAAAATAACATCAATTTACAAAATAATTGAAAACCTATAAATCAATGTAAGATGATGTCCAGTACTTAAAACACCACCCCACATGTTGTATCTACCCAATTGCTTTTAAATGGAGGGAATAAAGAATTGTACCTGTTGCTAGATATATGAACTCAATCTTCTTTGAAAGGCTCTGGGATGAAATGGCCAGGTCATTTAGCTTGAACAGCACATCACCCATGTTTGGACTGGAGTGATTTATTCTGTAATGGTTTATGATAAAATGCAACCTTTCTTTGCAATTTTGGCCACTATTTTGTTAAGTGAAGGATAGAAGAGCTTTCTTTCTGGATTCCAAACCTTATTTTTTTCGTGTCAGGAGCGACTTGAGAAATTGCAAGTCACTTCTGGTGTGAGAGAATTGGCCAATTGCAAGGATGTTGCTTAGGGGACGCCTGGATGTTTTACCATCCTATGGGAGGCTTCTCTCATGTCCCTGCATGAGAAGCTGGAGCTGACAGATGGGAGCTCACCCTTCTCTCTGGATTTGAACTGCCAACCTTTTGGCCAGCACAAGGGTTTAACCCATTGTGCCACCAGGGGCTTTTATTTATTAATCAGGATATTTCCTTAGGTGCCAATCGATTACCTTCCTGTGTCACATTATAGTGAAAACAAGTGTATTTAAGGGGTAAATTGTAGCATTCTTTGTCTTCCACCAGCCAACACTTCTCTTGGATCCAGTTGCATCTGTTCATAGTATTTGTCTGAAACTACCAAGTAACTGAGATTCACAGTCCATAAAATCATACCTTGTTTGAAGTGCCATCTAGTTTTCAGAAAAGTTCTACCACCTTTCTTTTCATCCATTTGGACGGTGTTCCTTGTGAATGTATTTTAGTTTGATATGCTTTCTTAGTTATTAATTCAACTAGATCAAAGTAGAAAAGAGAACCTTTTCTTGCATCTTTGCCTTCAGTACTTTGGCTACGAAGAATTGTAGAATGTCTCATTTCTTTAAACTTGAAGCTTTAATATTAACAAGTTTTTCCCTAAGTCTTTTTATCTCATCTGACATTCCCTCTCCCCCAAATTGCCCAAGGATAAAAAAAAACCCTAGCATTTTCAAAGTTGTTTCTATTGCTATTTATTTAATGAGAACCTGGGTAATTTACTGGTGATTAGTAATTTGTGCATTTTCTCATTAAAGATTCTGTCCCTATTGGAATCAGCTCTTGTGGGACAAAATATGTGTTCTGTTTTGGATTTCTTGAGCTGTCCTTTGAGATAGGGTTCATTTTCTGTCCCCTATCCATGGGGATGCATGGGTCATGCAATCCATGTTGTGTGGCGTCCACGTGCCAAATTTCTCAAGGGCTAAGAAGCTAAAGCCTCATCTGCGCATGACTCAACAGGGGTAACATCACCAATAGCCTCCCAATATTTATTATGTCATTGAACTCTTTGAGAGTGAAAGGTTTTATTGGCCTCCCTCAGTGAGGGTTAAGTTATTGCCTTCCCAAGCATTCTGGTCTTCTGGTGGGATGAGAGTAAAACATTGTCTCCCTCCAGACATGGCTAAACTTGAAGTGGGCTCTTAGAGACAACATAGTGCAGCTGTTCAAGTGGACACTGATCAGCATTATTGACTTATTTCATTAGCTGCTGCGATCTTCCAAGAGTGAATTACATGTGCCTGAATATTGCCTTTAGATGGATAAGGTCTAAGCTGTCTGTTTACTGAATGTTGACCTACCTGACTGTGTGAATAATTTAACAACTAAATCCTGTGCCCTGCCTTTTAAAATCAAGACCATGGCTGTTATGAAACACCTATGATTTTGAGGTGCAAGCTATAGTGCCATGTCTAACATTTGATTTTCCAAGTCCTCGTTCCAGTTAAGCTCGTAGTGGCTTACAGAACTGGATCTGATGGTTCTTGGAGACCTTCTAACAATTTTGGGTGGGTGGGAAGGGGGTTAATATAATTCTGAAGTGATCTTACAATAGCGTTGGGAAGTTCACCCACTTCTAATCATGGGTGATCGATTTACCCTTGTGCCAATTTAAACACCCATTCTGGTTTGGGGTCCATTTCAGTGATTTGACAAACTGTCTGATTCAGTTTAAACCACTTTGAAATCAGTAGTTTCTTCTACTGAAGAAATCAAAAGCTTTCAATCTCCCAACAATTTGCTATGATTTCATTATATTTTCTATTAGACTTTGAGGCCTTGTAACCTTTTCAAATGAATGGAGATTGCCAAATTGCCAGAAGCATTTTGCAGTTATAAATGATAGAATTTAGCAAAAATCTTGCTTGTGCTAAAATGAGCTATGAATACGAACTATGTAACTTACTTGTTCTTTTTGGTTGTTTATTTGTGCTTGTACTCACTCTCCTTTTAGACTAGGATAGGGAACATTTGGGCCAGATACAGGTCACACATTTTCCCCCAGCCATCCTGTCCCTGGTAATTATGCCTGGAAAAGGATAAAAGTTCTTTGGGAGATAATATCTAGTGATAAAGAGTGATGAACGCAAAGTTATCTAGTGAATTTCATATCTGAAAAGAGATTAGAACTGAGTCATCCTTTTTATCTACTACGTTGTTGTTGTTGTTCATTTGTTCAGTTGTTTCCGACTCTTCGTGACCATGGACCAGCTCACGCCAGAGCTCCCTGTCGGCCGTCACCACCCCCAGCTCCTTCAAGGTCAAGCCAGTCACTTCAAGGATGCCATGTATCCATCTTGCCCTTGGTCGGCCCATCTTCCTTTTTCCTTCCATTTTCCCCAGCATCCTTGTCTTCTCTAAGCTTTCCTTTCTTCTCATGATGTGACCAATGTACTTCATCTTTACCTCTGCTATCCTTCCCTCCAATGAGCAGCCGGGCTTTATTTCCTGAAGTAGGGACTGGTTGGATCTTCTTGCAGTCCAAGGCACTCTCAGAACTTTTCTCCAGCACCACAATTCAAAAGCATCTATCAAAAGTATCATCCACTACAGTTCACTCTTTTTTATGTTTCAGGGCCTTCAGATGAGACTCTGCCACTACCTAATACAGAAGAATTCTCAGATCACCTTGAAGATTCTGGATGTGATGTTTCAAATCACTGCACGGTTGATACTCTAGAAACATTACCTAGTTCCAGCCACAGAAGCCATGGTTGCAACAGTTGTGCATCGGAGCCTTCATCGAGTATAATTCCAATATGGACTTCTTGTAGGGCCAAGAAGCAAAAGTCTTTGATCTCACACATGCAGTTCCTACAAAATTTCTTTGAACTAAGAAAGCTGACGGAAGCTGGAGGCCTGAGAACAGACTTGAAAATACTTGGAAAAGATTGTTCCATAATATCCCATTCTTTCTCACAGTTGCTTGATGGTCTGATTACTTCGTACAGCCTGCCCGAACTCCCCTTTTTAGATGTTACGACTCAAGCAGTTTCTCTTATAACCAAGTTATTAAGTGATGTGGATATATCTAGTCTGATTCTGGGGAAGTGCTTGAAGAAGCTGGAAGACTGTATGAAAAGGCTTCTTGCCATTGTTTTGAACAGCAGCAGTCTCAACAGAGTAAGTAGAATGCCACTCACACATTCCATTTTCATGGACTTTCACTGTAGAGTTGGGTTTGCACACATGATTATTTTTATCAGATGTGGTTTCTTTGATGATGGAATTGGGATGCCAGGCACTGTAAGGCTGGAGGTTCCACCTCAATGCAGATCTTTGCCCTTTGGAACAGATGCAGTTGCCTTGAACTTGGTTAGAGCCTTATCTTTTAGAGTCAGATGTTTTCTTATGCAACAGGACTTTCTTTTCTCTCCAAGTTAGAGCCAAAGTTGATAAAGTTAGATTTGAGACTGTAATTCTCAGAATCTCCTGGCCAGAATAGCCAATTCAAAGTAGGAAGTCCAAAAAGTATGTTTGCCATCTCTGTTACTGCCTTCTATGGGAAGAGACTTGACAATCTCTGCCATAAGGCAGGATGTCAGTAAATCTCAAGTGCAGGAGACCCCTGAGCAAGTTGAGTTCTTTGGCTTGTGACCTTGGCTTTTCTCCCCTTGTCCCTTCTCCACTTTTCTAGGCTCAGACCACCTGAGCAAATGCAGTCCTTAGTGCCAGTTGTCACCTGATAGACAACACAAAAAGGCCCCATAAAATGAAGCCACTATGAAGTTTTTTTTAAAATTTTCCTACTAGCTTGAGGACCTCACCGTGCCCAGGTTATCTGAAGAAGGCATGGTTTGTTTTGGGAAGTTTGGCTATATCACTTAGGTAATTTGTAACACATTTTTTAAGGAAAAAGACTGTCTTTGGGGTTTTTTTTGGGGGGGGGGGCGTTAATGAATGCTCCCATTAGAAAATGCATAAGGATGTGGATGAACTACAACTTCCATAATCATGGGTCAGTCCTTCCCAGACTCTGCCAGTATTCAAAGTTGTCCATGTTGGTTCTGTGTGCCCAGTTTGGTCCCGATATGTTGTCGGCTGGGTTCAGTGTCCTCTGGACAAGGATGAACTACAATCCCAGATTCCCAGGGCATTCACCCCCAAACCCTTCCAGTATTCAAAGTTGGCCATCTTGGGTCTGCGTGCCAAGTTTGCTCTAGATCCATCATCAGCTGGTTTCAGTGCTCTCTGGATGAACTTCAACCAGATTCGCAGGGCAGTATAGGTTACCTTAAATTGCACAGAAGTACTAATTTAGCACCACAGAGTTGCTAGAATTCTTGTAGGCAGTTCTATGTGAAAATTACAAACTACTAAATGCTGGCAATCTGGATGCTCATCCCAGATGCTCTGGCTGCATGAGTTATGGCATATTCTGAAAAGTGTTCAAAGAGCATATTATGCATGAAGTTTAAGATTAGCCTGTGTCAACCTAATTCAGACACTTCACAGGAGCAGAGTAAATCAAACTCTTTCGTGCCAGAGGAGCTCAAGGAGTTTATAGTTAGTAATATACACCCAGGTGACTTCAGCTTTCAAGTTCTTTAAGTACAAAATTTCAGGAAACTTCAACATTTGACAATGCCTTTTACATGCAAAAAGATGTGGTGGCAATCCATGGGACACTTTGGCCCAGAATATTCTTCCTTAATAAGCTTACCCAAGTTTTCATTATAGCATTATAAGCCTTTTTAAAAATCTCATTGACGGTGTTAATTTGCTTATGTTTCTGCCAGGTGTGGATAGTAGTTGCATTTCTGCAGGGGACAAGATGAATTGAGTGTCACCAAGAATATTTTTAAAACTGAAGTGTCCACATAGTTTCAGCTTTAATAATAAATATAAGCTTGGTAGGATAATAATGTTACCTAATGACTTCTAGTCCAGTTTCTCTGGTGTTTTTTGCTAAGTACTTATTGTTCATTTGTTCAGTCGTCTCCGACTCTTCGTGATAAGTACTTACTACCTATCTAAACTGAAAGATTAGAGATGCAGAATTAAAGCAGGAAGCAGAGAAAACGAGAGAGTCATTTTGTCTTGGTTGATTGCAGTGACAGAATATAGTCATTTTCCTTTCTGGAGAAAAATAAACCCGAGACCATCAGTGGATTTTGGTGTCATTCTGTTATCCCCCGCATTCAACCTGAAAGCTTTCTTCCAAACCAAAATTCAGTGAGTGATAACCACTTTTCTTTTCTCCCCAAGTAGATGGAGGGGGCAGGGAAGGGGCAGGACATCTGGSCAAATCCATTCCACTTCCAATAGCTGTTCCATTGGATTGGCCTGGACTGAGAATTTGGAAATTTGGGGGGGGGGGGGGTTGGATCACAACTCCTAAATTTTGACTTGGATTCTGAGACTTGTACTTTAAAAAGTAACTTTTCCAAACCGAGAGCTTGATACAACCCACTCTCTCTGCCTTAAAGTATTCAAATCAATCCTCTAATTAGCATAATGCTGGATCCCACAAGCAGCCATATAAGGAGGCCAGTACGGTATGTTTCCTGAATGAGAAGCACTGCCTTGGATATTCACTTCCTGTATAATACTCAAAAAGGTTTGAAAGTGTCCCTGGTTGTAGAAGAGAGAATTAGGCCATCAATACCAACAGAGATATAAGATTGCTATATACCCTGAAGGTCAAGTCACACTCTCTTAACCTCAAAGGAAGGCAAAGGCAATCCCCACCTCTCAACAGATCTTGCCAAGAAAACTCTGTGATCAGGTCACCTTAGGTTTGCCATAATTCAGAATAGACCTGAAGGCACACAACAACAACAACAAACTACCCTGAAGGCGCATGATTCTGTTTTATCTTCAAAGCTAAACATGGTCAACCCTCGTTTGTTCTCAGAGAGAAAACTGCCAGGGAATACAATGCATGCTGTAAGATTGCATTCAGAGGAAGGCTCTGGCGAACCTTCTCTGAATATATCTTGCTAGGAAAACTCTGTGATAGGTTTGCCATAAGCTGGAGTCAGCTTGATGTCACATAACAAATACTGCTGTAATTAGGAACAAGTGTGTTCCTCACCATCCTGTCTTCACACCCCCAAAAATAAAATGAAGGTGGAGGGAATGATGATGAGGAAAGAATTCCAAATGGATTAATGAAGACTGTGCATGCTCTGAAAACAAAGAACGATGAAAGCATTATGAATAACTAGGCGTTCTATCTATCTGTTGCAAAGCACAAAGAGGAATAAATGAATAGTGATAATAAATGCTGAACAGAAATACTCCATGCTGCCACATTTTAGGATCTGTCAGAATATAGGGATATGTAAATTGAACATTCCTTATCTGGAATTCTGAAATGTGGTGGAGATAGTGACAGTTTTCCTTTCTGACACTTCAGTATACACAACCATTATTTCATGCACAAAATTCATAAAATGTTATATTACCTTCAGTATTTTCTGTATCAGATGAAACATAAATGTATTTAGGCTTGGGTTCCTTCTCCAAGGTATTTCAATATATATGTACAAATACAGGTATGCCAGAATCTAAAATATTCTTGGTCTGAACCATTGCAGATAAGGAATATTCTACATTTATTATAAAAGGTGTGTGTGTGTGTGTATACATACACACACACACATTTTGTCATGTATAAGCTCAAGATACTAATTGTTTGTCTTAGGTCCCTTCCACACAGCCATATAACCCAGAATATCAAGGCAGAAAATCACACAATATCTGCTTTGAACTGGGTTATCTGAGTCCACACTGCCATATATTCCAGTTCAAAGCAGATAGTGTGGGATTGAATTCAGCTATGTGGAAGGGCCCTTAGTCATGGCCAAGGCCTTTTGTTGAGCAAGAACATCTCCAGGTATGTCAATTAAAATGAAGATGGTGTAGTGTTCAATGAATTTGATGCTGTTTTTATTGTAATCAGCTTTGTGTCTGCCTACATGTGAGATTGCTGCAAATCAGTGTCCTAAGTTATCATGGGTTGTTAATAGTCTTGGTGACTCTGACTGCTTTGTAGCTTGTAAGAGTTTTTCAACATTGGGACAGATGATATTTAAAAATGGATGAATGTGTCTTTCAGTTTCCTTTCAAGTTTAAAGCTACCGAGTTTCCATTGCATTACATTAATTGAGCCCCCAGAGGATTTATGGCTGTGACTGAAAAAATCAGGCAAATTCTGATAGGCTTTAAGAATATCATATATGGAACAAAAAGGGCAAGGGAGCAACAGTTGATTTAAATACAAGTATATTCAAAATTTATGAGGCTTTTTTGGAAAACACAAAGAGCATGTGAAAGAAGGTGCTTGCTATTAAAATGGGTTTTTGGTCTGTGAACCTTTTTACTGGAGATAACAATACTACTCAAATAGTGGTTATTACCTGGAAAAACACTAGATTAAAAAATAATTCCTATGGCATTTTCATGTTAATACAGAGAAAACGTAATGTTTCTGGATAGAAAGATAAGTTATGTAAAACATTTCTTTACTTTATTTCTGTTGGATTAGTTTTCTCCACACCTGCCACAGAAATTTAAGTGGTCTAAAGGCATGTGGAGCAGTCACCTTCTCACGTTTGAGGTTTAGTCAGTGCCTAAGAGGCTGGATGACTTTTGACATGTTATATTTTTCTTTGTTTTAGAAGTAGGGTAGGCTAGTTTATGAATAATAAAGCAGTGATCTACCATGGGATAGTGGTTTGAATGTTGGTTTAGGACTCAGGGTTCCTACTCTACCAGGGAAGCCACAGGATGATCTTGGTTAATTCACACACTCTCAATCTCAGAGGAAGGCACTAGCAAATCTCTGAACAAATTTTCCAACAAAAACCCACCCAAAAACCCAGTTGCTCTAAGTTGGAAATGACACAGAATAGCAGCAACATGCTGACATACAAAATTGTCAGGATGCTGATTGCACAAATAAAATCAATGTACACTTTATCTTCTTCTGTGTGCTGTTCACAAAGGAGCAGATAAACAGACCATGGTTACTGACAAATAACCCAAATGCCAACAATAAAACAGTCCAGTCTAAGTATCTAAGCCAAGTAAAAATGAATAAAATATTATGCATCTGTGAAATATTACAATGCATATGAGGGTAATTTAATGTATGATGGTGAAGAATATGACTACTG